CCCCTAACCGAGGAAAGTCCGGAGGATGAGAAGGAGAGATATGCTCGGGTCTATCTCATAGGCATGATCGGAGGAGTGTTCTTCTCCAAAAAATCAAGCAATCTCCTTAGTTGTGGATGGCTTAGGATCATCCTCGGTAGTTGGGAAGAGATGGGGGAGTATAGCTGGGCATCCGCTTGCCTAGCTAATATCTACCACAACTTGTGCAATGCCTCTCTAAAAGCTGTGAGTGAGGTCGGCGGCGCAATGTTCATCGTCCAATTTTGGGCTTGGGAGCATATGCCATGGATTGCACCGGTACAACGTCCCGACAGGGATTGGCCAATCGATCATCCCCTAAGAGGGGAAGCTTATGGTACAAGGTAAACTTCTCATACCCCATCATGTTTTATCATAACACATTTTCCCTCATCAGCAGTGGCCTCTTACTCCTCACCGTATGAGCGTGGATGTCCCCCGCTCGACCCCAGAAGTGTCGATTCCCCGCCGACACAGCACCGACGAGCGCCAAACTACCTCGGCCCGAGTTCGAAACTTGCCACCGCAACCACCTGTTGTTACTCCCGTCGGTCGTCGTACAAGGAGCAAGAAAACCGTGGGTTCCGGTGAAGCTCGTGGACTTCCTTGAGTTATATTTTGAGTTGAGTTTAATTTCTATGTACATGGAACTATTCCTATTCTCTTAGTTTATCGAATTGATTGTTGTTTCAATTTGGTTTTTATTTCAATGAACAAAGAACTATTCATATTATCTTAGTTTATTTAATTGAGTGTTGTTTCAATTTGGTTTTATTTCTATCACCTTGGAACTATTCCTTTTATCTTGATATAATCCCAATTCGTTCAATCAACAATACGGCCAAGTTCCCAAGCTAATCCCTCGTTCCCTTCGCCAAAGAACGATAAAAGAAACAATACACAATACACATTTCGTTCAATCAACAATACACAATTACTTGCAAAGTAAGAGTCTCAACTAGCTTGAAAAAAAATGATAAAAGCAAACTATGTCGCATTAGCTGAGTCTGGCACATCAGCACCCGGATTTTGCGGACCAATCGGTCCTGGACACCTTCATTTGTCATGTCCTGGAACTTTGCATATTGAACATCGTCTTGGGCTTCGTGGTGGTCTTCCACTTTGATCCATTTCATTATGAATTCTCTTTTTCCTAGGGCGACCCGGTTCACGCCTCTGTTCGAACGGCAGGATGATCAATTTCCCTTCGTACAGCAGCCAATAAACTTCATCAGGCAATGCACGGAAACTGCGTCCATAGGTGTTTTTGAGTGAGTCGATATTGAAGAATGGACTAACGAAGTGACGGGGGTCTTTGCTCCTGTTTTTAATTACGGCCATTGCATGAGAACAAGGCCACCCTCTCCCCTGATACTTCTGGCATGAGCACTCACCAAATTTTGTCCTGCAATTGACCAAAACTTCATGTCGGTGGCCCCCCGTCTACCATCATCCCGATGTTCGGTCGTCACGCTATACTCGCCATTTGCCCGATTCATAACGGTTACACTATGTCGACTGCTCTTGCGATTGTCATTCTCCATTACTTCCATGACTTTATAGGCATGGACCTTTCCCTGTGCCTCGTTCGTCCTTGTCCAGTGGAGTCGGTTGACGAACCATGCATTCGTTTTCCAAAAAGTCATCTCCACAATGGCAGAGATTGGCAGTGCACGAACGACCTTGTAGACAGAGTTGATACTCTCACCTGAGTTCGTTGTGGCAATACCCCATCTTGTCCCTCCATCTTTATGAAATGTCCACATGGATAGGTCGTGTCCATCAAGCCACTGTGCCCCTTCAGGGCATAACTCGCGCAACTTCTGCATCTTCTCCAGAAATTTTTTCTCTTGATAGGCAACCGCTGAGGAAGACACAGAAAAGTAGTAACAATGTCAATTTTTGGCAGTTTAGTACAATTCGAACAACCGGGAGGTACTCTTGTTAGACTCTTAGGAGAGGTATACATCTCCTTAGAAACACAGCCTGTTTGACAGAAAAAGGGGGGATCCGAAGATCGCTTAAAACTCGATTTTCCCAGGAAATGGGAGGATCATGATAATCTCTTAAAACCCCATTTCCTTAGGCATGCATCACTTTAGAAAGAGTCTAACAAGTGCACCACTCTCCTGATTACAAGATATTGTTAGCTGATAAAATTATACGGCTAATTACAAACTTACCAATCCACCACAAATTATCAGCAAGCTTCTTCCGCTTGAAATGATGGTTCCTGTTGCTCTTAAAGTGTCGTATGCACCACCTTTGGGATCACTTCCAGGCTGGATCTAAACCTAAGATGGCAGCTAATGCCGACGTGCAATTCAGAGATTATTGTCAGGTTCGTCCTCCTAGTGACGTGGAGCTGAATTTGCTGGAAAAACCATCCATAGCTATCAGCATTCTCTCCCTCAACGATGGCAAAGGCTAAAGGATAGACTTGTCTGTTTGCATCCGCCCCACTGGCAAGCAGGAGAGTGCCCTTGTACTTGCCGGTAAGGAATGTACCATCCACTTGGATGACAGGGACACAGAAGCCAAAACCATCAATAGATGGCTTGAATGCCCAAAAAATTCGTCTAAAATGGCGCTTGTTACCTGGCTCTGGGGGTTGTATCTCTTCATCTTGGTATCGAGGGGAGAAAACCGTGACAGGGTTAGACGCCTCCAATGCCAAAATTAACTTGGGAAGGAATGCATAATGATTCTTCCCAATCACCAAAGACGGCGGCCAGAGCTTTCTGCTTTCCATGCCACGCCTTCTTATAGTTAATCATATAACCATAACGACTTGCAATGTCAGCGATTATGACTTTCACCTTCAGGTCTAGATCTTGCCCAATTAGATGCTTGATAGCCGCAGCAACCACCCTGGATTTCAACTATCGATGGCCTTGGGAAGTTATGGATGACACACATGTGTGTGTGTTCACCGCACGGGATATGACCCAGTGGCCGTGTCTCTTGCTGTTGATGGCCCGAATCCTAACATTGCACCCCTCGTGATGATTACGGCATCTGACTATGAGCCTTTTAGTGTTGGAATGAGTTGTATGCCATTCAAAATGTCGAGTCATTGCTTCTGTCTCAATGGCGTGCCACACCTCCTTCTTCGAGCCAAATTGTTGGCCCTTCATAAACCCAGTGAGTGGACCCCATATTGGGACCTCTGGCGTCTCCATGTCGCTGTCGACCATCCAATTGTCGTCTGGAATGTGATTGTAGTAGGGTACTGGTACACGGTCACGAGCCACCTCATCATCATTAGCTGAGTCTGACTCTGGTCCTGAATCATCAGCACCTTCAAGAGGGTCAGAGCTGTCTGCACTGACGTTGTTCTCTCCTTCTTCATCGGAGGGGTCACTGACTAGTGCTGGCAGGGCATCCTCCATCTGATCCAGCTCATGAAAGGCACCTTCATCAGCTCCATAATGGTAGTTGTGAAAACTACCGCTGCATGAGTGGAAGTTGTACTGAGGTTGGTTGGGGAGGTCCGGTTGAACTTCTTCTTGGTATGACGGGAAAGATTGATGATGACCTTCACCTTGCTCTTGGTACTGAAAATATGAATGAGGATCATGGTAACTTTGGTAGGGATGATCGCCATATAATTCACCTCCACCATGGATACTAGATGTTTGACCGTGTCCAGAATGACCTCCAACACCTACGACCAGCTCGGTGTAAACGAACATCTCGGCTTTGGAAAGATTGTTGGACCTCATGAATTCGAGCATGGCATCTACCTCATCCTGAGTGGTTATTAGATATTCCTCATGCCACAATGACCTACTTTCTCTGTTTGGATATCGGTACACCATACGATCAACTCTTCTCGTGCCATCCATGGAAGTAACGTTAGTGCACATTTTGATGGAGGTCTTCAAGCAGCGGTCTGGTAGCGACCTTTATCTTCTGAAAATTGCCACCGACGTAGGTGACTCCCTTTCCGGTCTCTTCCGTGTAACCATTCCACCGTAAGCCAAGCGTGAACTTTTGGAATGCCATCTGCGATAAAACCGTAGTTCAGTTAATATCATAAAAATCAAAAATAAAAAATAACTATAAAAAGTAATACTAAATAAACTTACGAGTTAACGTTAATCGCAAAACTACTAAAGAAATATAAAGCTACAACAGAAAATTGAAAAGGGAGAAGGAGAGGTGTGAAGAGAAGTGGTTTTCCGGGAGGCCTTTTATAGGCAAAATCACTGATGAAAATTGACCAAAACCGCACCTCCAAGGTGCGGTTTGTATGGCAAAATCGCACCTTGGGGGTGCGGTATTGTTTGGGAGAAACAAACCGCACCTTCATGATGCGATTTTGATAGGTCAGGCCAAAATCGCACCTCGGCCAAGCGGTTTTTGTAGGTCAGACCTAAAACCGCTTGGCCAAGATGCGGTTTTGGTCCAGGAATATGGAACGCACCTTAGAGGTGCAGTTTATGTGTAAAACGGTGCGGTTTAAATATAAAACGCACCTCTAAGGTGCGGTCCATTAAAAAGGGTGCTATTAGTGTAAATATTTCGGATGGGTGTTATTTTTGTAATTTTTTTTAAAGGTGCTATTTCTTGAAAAATCCCTACATTCTAGATGTTAGGATTGTTATCGCAAGGAGTATCAAATAAGATAATTTACCCCTTGATATTGGAAATCCCTGAAATCAACTCAAAAATTGATTGAGGGATCGGGCCGTTGGGCCTTTAAACCCCGGATCCAACCCCAAGGGAACACAATCCGTAAGAAAAGTTGCATTGCCAGCCCACTAGAGGTGGGACCCGCCACTGTCCAATCCCGGAGTATATAAGGGCTAGCTTGTAATGGTGATGATTGTTTGCTTAAGCTTCCATTCAAAAATTTAAAATCATTGTGAGCAACTTCTCACAAATTGTGTTGTGAGCATAATAATGGGTTAATTGTTATTGCAGCGATAAATGAGTCAAAGAAATTATGAAAAAAAAGGAAGTAATAAGTGTGGTATTTTAACCCAATCGTTTTATTAGGGAACAAATCTTTTGCAGAAGTACCGTGGCTCAATTAAACAGCATCAAATCTACGGATGATATATATAAAAAAACAATTTCAGTCATTAACACATTGGCAAATCTGGTTGCGGCAGTGGATGTGGCCATCGATGCAAACCAGAATGCTCCCTGCATTAGCACAATCAGCTTCCTTTTTGCAGCTGATCAGACTCGTCTGACCTTCCTCTACAGCCTCCCCGCCTTCCGACAACCGGATCGCATTCGCCGCCGGCAAAGTCACCATCTGGAAACCTGCTCCAGAAAATTATTCCCTCCCAATCAGCTTGATAATTTTTTTTCCGTAACAAAATCATAATTTAGAATGAGAACTAGTTATAAACTGTAACAACTTCTCATAATTGGGAGTTTGTAGCCCCTACTAGACTACACGAGTAAACTCCACCACCGCTAATTGTATACGTACCTAGGAGGAACAGACAGAAGAAGGCCTTAATGAGAGAGGAAGTCTGCATGTCTTTGATCTTTTGATGTTTCTGGCTATACTGTTATACGTTGGGGGCAGTGATGGAGGTATGAATTAGATCGATGGAATAGGGCTGGGCTGATTGAAACAATCACATGCCGATAGAAATATATATAGTCCTCTCCTCTGTATTATGTAATTGGCGCGCTCTCATTTCTTCCCCTTGAATGGCGTCATCGGGTATAAGATGGAAAGTGATTACTGCAATGGTAATTATTTCTTTCCTTGGATGCTAAATAATTTACAGTTATTATTTCTCAAGATCAATATTTGGATTTTGGAAGGTGTTATTTGCATGCCATAAAATAGCGTTTTAAAGGGTATGAGTTGAGTGAGCAAATAATGGGTGGCTTGACGTTTTTTATAAAACTATACTGTTTTTTGTAGTTCTTGAAAATTGAAATGGATGTATATCTTGTACATGGACATTTGGTATAAAGATTGGAAGATTCTTTCCTTTTCTATGAATTATCATACTCATTTTTGCTACAAGTAAAAGAGGAAAAAGATAACTCATTCTACTATATTGAGATTTGAGGGAGCGGTTACGGTGTATTACTACATTTTTACTACAAGTAAAAGAGGAAAAAGATAACTCGTTCTATTATATCGAGGGAGCGGTTACGGTGATTACTAGGCTACTAAGGGTAGGAATCGTATTATGGTGCTTATTGATTTGGTACTAATGCTATGTTTTATTGGTCGTGTTTACATTGATATTGGTGTATATCTGTTATGATGAATTGATATTCAATATTGAAATTGAGTTGGATGCGGAGTATCTCCATAATAGTTGTAGGATGTGCATGGTTTGATATTGGTTCAGTATCAGTAGCATTTAAATGAATTTTTTTGCATGTCACTAAAACGAGGTTGCGATACCCAGATGCACCAGCGTCGACCCCCGACGGGGGAAGCTTCGATCTTGAACCAACGGATGAGCTCGCCGGCGAAGGGATGCGATTTGCGAAGCGTTGGCGAAGCTCTGAGCCTCTGAGTCTCTGACTGTGCAGTTGCGCTGCAGCCTGCAGGGTAGGAACTAGGGTTTCGGTTTTTGGGTTCTCTATCGGGTTTCGGTTTTATGAACCGAAACCGACATGTGCATCCTCGGGTCGAAACCGGAAAACCGAACCCACAGACAATTGATGGCGGTTCGGGTTCGGGTTAAACCAAAAACCCGAAACCGTTTTGACAGCCCTAGTCGTGAGGTTTACTGCCGTTGAATCCAGAGATTGACCGCAACTGTCGCCAGCTCAGGAGACAACAGCGAGCTAGACTGGCTACGGAAGAGCGCATAGACGACCACCTGAGTAGCGATTCTGAAGAAGAGCACGGGATGGACGGAGAGTACAATCAACACCAGGGGAATCCTCAGCAGGCTCCCCCGGTGAATCAAGTCCTGGGGAACAACCCCATAACCCAGGATCATGGGGTTCATCATCCACCGCCGCCGGGTCCCACCTTGGAGTACTACTACACTCCTCGGATTGCTGACATCCGCCCGGTCATCATCTACCCGCCTATTCCAGCAAACAACTTCGAGATCAAGCCATGCTGGATTCAGCTCATTACATCTTCTATCCAGTTCCATTGCTTGAAGGATGAGGAGGCCAGGGTGCATCTTTCCCATTTTCTGCAGCTGACGAACGGGTTCAAGCTGAATGGTGTCCCTGATGATGCAATCCGCCTTCATCTCTTCCCCCATTCTCTGGCGGGGAATGCTAAGAGGTGGTTGGAGACCCAGCCCCCATTGTCCATCATCTCTTGGGACGATCTGGCTGACAAATTCATGCACAGGTACTATCCGGCATCGAAGACTACAGAGATCCAGCGGGAGATCACTCACTTCCGCCAAGAGCCAGATGAGTCACTTCGTGATGCATGGGAGCGGTACATGGGATATTTCTGGCAGTGTCCCCATCATGGCTTTAGTGATGCATTCACAGTGGGGAACTTCTACAGTGCTCTCTCTCCAGATAGCCAGAGGGTGATTGAGTCTCTATGCCCAGGAGGGGATATTCTTACTAAGACTCCACCCGAGCTGAACCAGATGATCAGTACTTTGGCTGCCAGAGATCATTGTTGGGGACAGAGCAGCAGAGGCAGACATTCCCGAGACCGTGGTGTGCACACCATGGAGACCATATCCGGGCTCGAGCAGCAGGTAGCTGAGTTAGTGCAGACATTGAAGCAGCCCAACAGTCTGATTCCGGGCAGAGGTTTGGCTACACCTCCATTAGCTCAATGTCAGTGGTGCGAAAGCTCCAATCACCTAGTGGAGGACTGCCAGGCTATGAGGGAGTCTACCACTCCCCAAGAGCAGTTGGACTTCATCGCCAATGCTCGGTGCCTCGACCCGTACAGCAACACATATAATGAGGGGTGGCGCCAGCATCCCAACTTCGCCTGGAGCAGCAACACCACTAAACCACCTGGTTTCCCAGCACCAGCAGGTGGTTTTCAACAGAGACAGCCCTTCCAGGCTCGCCAGGGGCCAGCCCCACAGCAGCAGCCTTACCAGCCTAGGCAGGGGCAGCCATTCCAGCAGCCCCAGCGCTAGTTCGCCGAGCCAGCAGCAGCTCCTGCCCTAGATGACCGGATGACAAAGCTGGAAAATATTCTAGCTTCATTCATGACTAGCACTTGGGCTGCTATCACGTCACTGGAGGCAGGTCAGCGGAACCAGGGTGCCATTTTGCAAGATCTGCAGACCCAAGTGGGCATCTTGGCCCGCCAGAACACTACCAGGGCACCGGGGACTCTGCCTGCCACCACTATCCCGAATCCTTGGGATCCTCACCAGCTCCATCAGCTGGATGCCATTTTTACTAGGAGCGGTAAGACCATATCTGCTGATCCTGTCCCGGCATTACCTGCTTCAGCACTTCCAGCCGACGATGCAGAAGTGCGAGTGGAGAAGGAAGCCCCTGCTCCCAAGCCACAACCAGTGGTTAAGGAGCATGTACCCCAGCTTCCCTTCCCCACTCGCCTACACAAAGACAAGTTGGAGACTAAGTTTGCCAAGTTTATGGCAATGTTGAAGCTGCTCAACATCAGCATACCGTTCATGGAGGCATTGTCGAAGATGCCCAAGTATGCCAAGTTCATGAAAGATCTCCTCACCAACAAGAAGAAACTTGGGGATCTCTCGTCAGTGTTGCTGAGCGAGGAGTGTTCTGCTATCCTGCAGAACAAGCTGCCCGAGAAGCGCAAGGATCCAGGGAGTTTTACTATCCCTCTTACTATTGGCAGCATGCATGTAGGCAAGTCCTTGGCGGACCTAGGCGCTAGCATAAATGTCATGCCATATAAGTTGTACAAAAAGTTAGACCTAGGTGAACTTAGCCCTACTAGGATGAGCATTCAGCTAGCTGATCGTTCCATTGTGCATCCTAGGGGAATCATAGAGGATATGCTTGTCAGTGTCGGTGCATTCACATATCCTATTGATTTTGTTATTCTTGATATACATGAGGATGTGGATGTGCCTTTGATTCTGGGTAGACCATTTCTTGCCACCGCCAAGGCACTTATTAATGTGCATGATGGTAAACTGATCTTGCATGCTGGGAGTGAACAGGCTACTTTTTCTGTGACTGAATTTGATCACTGTGCTATGATTGCTGTCACACCTGTGCATGCCATTTCTGATCAGGTACACGAGCCTGTCGTGTATCCTTCTGCACCTCTTATTTTGCAGGACCCTCCTATCATTCCTTCGTCGCCACTCCATCCAGCCTCGCCTCCGAACAAAAAGCTCAAGGAGGAGTGGCGGCCGAAGCAGTAGGTTGCTAAGCCTGCACGGAAGAAGGGTGGAGACCACTATGAGCTGGTCCCACCTCCTGCACCACGACCACCCTGGCCGTCCGGGTACTCACTCGCCTGCATCTTGCCAGATGGCCAGGTCGAGCTGACCGATGATGGTGGTCGCATCCGTCGGGTACATGGCCACAACCTGAAGCTGTACCTCAAGAGCGACGTGGATCCGCTCTTGGAGGCACCTGTTCCTGCACCTCCCTGAGTATCCACCATGGGAGTCCAGCTAAAAGACGGTAAAGAAGCGCTTGTGGGGAGGCAACCCCACCACGGTTTGACTTTCTTTCTTGTGTTTTGAGTTGGATTGTAAACCAGTTTGGTTTTGGTTTGTTTTCTTTTGTTTTGGATGATGTCTTATTGGGCTGACATTGGACCTAACATATTGTGTTTGAGCTCTTCTGTTCCCCTTTAGCTGTGCTTTGTTCCTGACTGGTGCCTCCCTAGTCCGCTTCACTCGGCGGGTCCGCTTCCAGTCTAATGTAGTCCGTGCACACCGGTAACATTGTTCCCCTTATCCTTCCCTCCTCTCCATTGAGGGCAATGTCGATCTTAAGTGTGGGGGGTGTTTATCTTTTGACTGCATTAGATCTGTTTGTGTGCTTGGAGCCTAGTCCACTGTCCAAATTTTTAAATTTGAGGGCTCCAAGTACGTTTTCCCTTGCAATTGCCTGCTCAGTATGCTTTGAATTGACAGTCTTTATAGTAATATGCAACCTAGGGAAGTAGTGTAGCACTATGGAGGATGTTGATGCATTTAAGAAGTCTCATTTCTTCTTCATATTGTGTTGGTTGATTGAGTGAATTAGTGACCTTAGGACCCTTGAATTGTGTGGTGTTGTGGATTCTCTACCTGTCATGGACTCTTGTTTCTTGTTTGGAGTTTAACAGGTGCTCGAAAATGTGCTTCAAAATAACGTCTCCCGTGCGAATAGGGCGAAAGTGTGTAAGAGGAGACGGGAATTCGTTCCCAATTTTCACCTACTACCTCCAGCCTCCTTACATGTCTTTCCCCGCACGAGGCTCGAGACATCCCCGCACGAGGCTCGAGACATCCACTCCTGGCATGGCCAGTAAGACCAGGTTTGGACCCTTGAAAAAAAAATAAAATAAAATAACAGAAAACAAGCAAAACAGAAAGAAAAGGGGTTCCAACCATCTTCAAGAAGAAAATAGAGCACCTTGAAAAATGTGAGTCCATGATCCTTTGTTTTTGGGAATCTCTTCATCCACAATTCATTTGTCCTTTGTTCACTATTTTCCA